GCCGACGTAAGAAATATTATGTTCTCATTCAGCATCACATTTATTTTGTATTTACTACTCGAAAGAGATTTACTTTATTATGATCAGATGACAAGTCAAGTAAAAGAAAACTTAACTTCAAGATTTTATAAACTAAGAAATCATTCACAGCATAACAAAAGAAGATGTAGTAATAATAATCAATAAGTTTTTTTTATTTTAATATCAATTATAATGAGTAGAATTTTCGACCATTTTCAGTTGTTAACGCTAGTTAAATCGGTCATCTTCAGTACTTAATCTATTTCTTAAATATATCATCATGAAAAGGAACATCAATTCATTTGAACCACCAATCATAACCAAATAATAGTAAATATCAATATAAAGTGAAGTTCAAGTTTGTTTAACTGTTAATATATGAAGTTAATATTAATTAGAATAACTTGAGAAATAGGAATTTTACTAGCATCAACAACTGAAAATTCTACTTATTAAAATTGATACTAAGATAAATAAAACTTATTGATTATTATTACTGCATATTTTTTTGCTTTCATTCAAATTTACGGCGAACTTGTTTTGAGTTATTCTTCTTATGCTTATTCGAGTGAGAAATAGCATAATTCGAGGATGAATATGATATATTGTGATCGATAGAACGATTGTATCTTAATGGTTGATGATTAGAAGGACGTGCTTTATGTTGAATTCGTTTACCAATCATTTTTTCATCAAAATATTTTTTTTCGTTATGAATAGTAGGCTGTTGTTTGTGTTTGAAATGGTTATAATTTGTACCAGTGACGGACCGATCCAATCCAGTACGGTAGTAATCAAAGTTATGGACTGATGCAGGATGTAGTCCCACTAATCTATCACTTTGCGGTCTAGAGCGATTGGCTGGCCAGCGAGTAGACTGGACGAAAATACCACTAGACTGATCTACCGCTCTACTTCGATCAGAGAAAGTAAGATAAGTACCAGAATCAGTGGTCAATGATCCAGACTGGTTCCATCTATTATTTTTAATATCTGAATGATTCATATCGTCGCGGACTAAATTATATCCGTCTTCGTCACCATGCAAAACACCATTTCTTCGTAGATCTGTTAAGTCAATACAAATGTAATGAAAATCGTCAGGAGCAGCAGGTTGTATAATTCGAGGCACATGATCTTGTTGCATGTATTTTCTTTTCTTTTACGAAATTGATCAAATAAATAGGTTTTGCTATCTAAAAATAAATCATGACGAGACATTTATTTTCCAGTGAATGCTAGATTATGAACAACATAAAATAATGTCTATACGAACTTTCGAAACAACAGGAACATATTACGTAATTGTCAGAAGCATAACTCGGCAATTAAAGCAGGAGAGACGTAGAGAGCTGCGGCGTGAACGAGTCTCAAGAGTAAGGTGCGTTGTGTCGACGAATTTCAGAATCTGGAGTGGGGGGCATCATGCAGGTATAATTGAGAAAGAGAAGACTAAGTGCTCAATCCCCATATCCAGTAGTTACAACATTGTGAATCGATTCTATTTTGAAAAAAATAAGAAATAAACACACTTCAATGACAGTAAGAAGACAGAAGATGCAGAATGAAATTATTGGTGATTTAGCCACAAACCATCACGTTTAATGAGAAAATTTCTTAATTGATCTTTTAAGTCTGTAAATCGTTGAAGAATAAATCCGTAGGGGTCAGTTAGCCTCTTCTCACTAAAAATCATGATATATTATCTATTTCTGATCATATGTGATCCAGTAAGATGTATATATCGTTGCGGAGCTATTTTATTACAGCTAAACAGTTAATACATTCATTGATTACGATGTTACCTTTAAACTGAACGGTATAAGTGAAGTTTTCAGATGATTAGCAGAAAAAGATTAATCCATTATTTCTTAGACCATAAGATGATACAAGCAAAATTTAATACTAGACTAGATTCTGCTCATTTCAGACACAATTGAATGTTAATTCTGCACGACTAATTACTTATAAATCGAACTAATGGAGTCAGTTATACAAGAAGGTGTTAATATCAGTGGATTCATTTGAGTCATGGTATAAGTAGTATATAAATGTACAGAAAATGTATTCTGACATTTGTTTGAAATTCTAAACTAACAACCTGTCTTGATTCATCATCAGCACAACAATTTTTCGCAAAAATGAAGCTACAATCTGCATTATCTTACAGAATAAGTAGAAATATCTTCATGCATTATTATCAATCACTAAATCGTCTATGAATTCATATTATTCATCAAGAACAGAAAATTGCAAATTATTTTTTTAATTTTCTCTTCCTAGATTTTAAGACGTTTCATCAAGCGAAGCTGACTTCATTAGACTATGCAATGATATACATCGATTGATAATCGACTATTTCTTATGTCAAATGATCAATCAATGATCATGGAATTTAATGTAAATAATCGAGCTCTTACTCAATTACCACGTATTCAACTAATTTCGACAAGAATTATTCAATTGTATTCTGTAACCAATTGTATCGTTCTACAATCTAATAATCATCAATTGTTTTCTTGGAACAAAAATAAAAATTAAATGACAGCACTTGAAAAAGTCAATAGATTTACATCGAAGTACAATCGACTAGTTCTTATTTGTTCTAATGATAAAACATTGGTATTGTATAATTTAAAAGCAAATCTACATTGAACCATTCGATTAGAAAGTAATGGTGAATGTAACGCACTCTGTTTAAGTGAGATCAATAATGGACAACAGTATCTCTTTGTTATTTGTTGCGATCGACTTTTACTTAAAGTGAATAATCATTTATGTATACTGAAAATTACACATAAGACGAATATTCAGTCCTTGGCGAAAAGTTAAATATAGTATTGACTAAAATGTGATCATCGAAGAATAATTATGAATGTTTTTAGGACATCTGATATCAAGTGCCCTTTATTTAACACAGCCATGTGAGATGAATTGTCATCAGCATCATTGTTTTTGGTTAAATACTACTATGTTGACATAAAATGAACAACGTTTTCTTGTTCGATATATTTTGAAAATGTTTCTCGTTGACTAGGAAATAGAAAATAGCAATGAAAACGATGCTAATAATAAAATGACTTTTTCGTCTCTCTAACACGAGTATTGTTAGAATAGAGAAAAGCTGTTTGTGTTATCATCTTTTTGAGCGAGCTTAGTTGCTACCAGTGTTCATCAATAGAGACGGCGAGGCTTGCTTGAAGGATTTTTTTCGGATTTTTCAGTCTAATTATAATAGTACAATATCACTTGTCATGCTTGTAGATTGCTGAGGATCAATGCATCATGTATTATTGAAAAAGTTGAACGAATATAATGAAGATACTTGATATACTCTGATGATTTTGATTGAGCGGATGTGTACATCGGAAAAAAAATTGGTTTGCAATATTTTTTTGACAAATTCAATTAGTTGATTGACAAATAATAAGTGTAAAAACGGTGAATTTCTGATACTCAATGATTATGTTAGTAGATTGTAAATGTTTACATGCATTCACCATGAAAGCTATTGAGAAATAAAATGAAAAAATAGCAGTAATTGGTATTGATATTTGATTCGATAAAAACTATTAGCCAGACAGAAATGTCCGTAGTCGCGTACATTTCATTAGAAAGAAGAAAAAAAATTATTACAGCATACTTTATACACAACTTATCAATACACAAGTATGCTATGAAAATTGTTCATTTTCTTATGAACCCAATATCAACTTGGCTCATGTTGAACATTTTTAATTCTTCTTATGAGAAATATTGTCAACACTATCGCTGTCGATTAAATGGACATTTTCATTCACTTGATATAACTGTATCACGATGAAAACAATAGTCGACAAATACACTTGACGTAAAAATGTGCCTTTCGATTGATATAAAGAGATATATGTGAAATATTTGCAAAGAAATGATCCAGTAGGGCTATGCTTGTGATGCATGACTAAATCAAATAAATAATGCTAAGAGCAATCTGTTGATAAAAATCGATGGACTGAAACAAAACGAACGACAACTTAAGAAAGTAGAGTAAAGGCTTCGAAGCTGATCGGCAAATCGATTCGACCCAGTTGAACTTTTAAAATCGGCTGGTTTTTTGTAATTATTCTATCGATTTTCACAGTTTTTATCGGTCTAGAAATATAAGCACTAAAATTTTCAGCTAACAAATGCCTGGTTAGTATCAAAATCGCAGTTCTAAAGTTTGAACTGACACTTTCTCATAGGACAATGAGGACCTTAAATCATGCTGAATGCATAGATGATAGTCGCGACAAGTTTTGCAGTTAACGGGAGTGAAATTCAGGAGAAAGTAAAGATTTTTCACCTTGAAATTTTGAGCTCACTTTGCTGGACTATTTTTAACCGACTGTCAGAAACTCTCAATAACTAGTAAGTGTCAGTTTATGTTTTCGTCATATAAATATTAAAAAAGTTTTGTCAACTGCTACCTCATGCAACTTTGTCAATACCTAAGTATTAGAACAACGTAAATGTATGACGTCTAGTAGTTAAATAATAATTTCAAATAAGAAAACATCAAACTTATCAATTCGTATAGAGAAATGATATCTTTATTGCAGAGAATCAGATAAAGCAAATCATAGATGTAGTTGAATATCAGTTATGGTAAGTCAGTAGATGAAAAGCTTTGAAAGATATCATCTTTCATTCTTAGTATTAGCCTATATGAAATGCGACAGATTAAAATCGAAGTTGTTACTATTAGAAAATCCAACAGTTATATGAGTTTCACATTGTGTGTCTTTGTGAAAACATACTAATACACTTTTTCTGGAAGAAAACAGGATGTTAAGTGATGTATTGAAATGTACCGGTATTTTGCTGGTTAACCCAAGAATTTCAACCAAGTGATTACCGATCAGTCCAATTCAGTTAAGAAAAACTCAACCAATTCCAAGTCTGCCACGCGCACATCCACACTATGTATCGTCGCGTATAATAGAAAAGGTAATTTTAAAAAAAATAATACTTACCGTACACTCAAATAATCAGATGAACTAAATAGAAAAAAAAAATATTTATTTTTATACAGTAATAATTACTGTGGAGGTTTGTTGGAAAATCGCTGATTATTTACGATTTTTTTTTATATCTAAAAAGGTCACTGATTGACCGCGATTTTAATGACATTAGTAGACTTTATCGTGAGTATTCTTGTTTTTAATTAAAACTTAAAAATAATCAAATATATATATATCCCCCTGGACAAAAATAGTTCGACAAAGTATTTTCAATAAATTATTACTATAAATTAACCTTTTTGAAAAAGTAAGGATATATTCGAATAGCCCGAAGAGTTCTCTACAAAACTATATATAAATATTTTGGATTGCAATTCTCCTTAAAAAACAACTTCACGTACAATAAAGGCACCCTCATGTTCAGATTTCCAAAAAAAAATATTTTTTTTAAATTTTCATA